GGTGTGGAGGGGATGGCTATGAGGGGAGAAGGGAGGCCATCCTAAAAAAAAAAAAAAAAAAAAAAAAAAACACATGGCTTTCAAATACTGTTCATCTGCTAAAAGTTGTTGTGTTAGCCTTGGCACGTTTTTGCTTTTCTGCACGAAACGTCCACATTTCGCATGTTATAAAGCATGCACTGCACAATAAGCTGTGATAACCACGCACCAAGACTAGACAGAAAATAAAGGAAAAAAGCAACAAAAGTGCTAAAAATAATAAAGCTTTGGAGGACCTTTTTAAACTATTGATCAAGACCACTCTAAGAAAATTGCAAGAAAGCAGAACATAAAAAAAGACGGGTGGGTAAAATCTCTTCCATCATAGTTGCTCAACAATTAAAATCTTTGCAACTTTCAGGAATAAAAGCAGCAGCGAGCATTTTCAAGAAAGTCTAAACAAAAGTTATTGTTGTAATGTCAACATTATGTGGTTCATGATGACTTCAAACTGATCTTTCAGGGGAGGAGACATACATGATCAGCTTTATTCAGAACAATCACATTCCTAATCACAGTGGAATTATTACCTGGACATGATTTGCTTATAAAGCATGTTTTGTAATTATGGATCAATTGTCACCGTGTGACGTGAAACATGACACCATTTAAGCAGTGAGGACAATTTAATCTTTAGGGGATTTGTCATTTGTTCAGCTGTTGGAAAAGATATTGTGTCATCAGAAGACATTAAGGAAAGTGTGCATCTGTGTGTGAATTACAGGAAGTTCACGTCTCGCCTTTTGGCAATACATTACGGCAGGTAATTACACAGCTATCGTCCGGGCAGATGCTCACACAGCTCTCGCTCCGTCTTCTTTAAGGATCTTTGAAGACATAAAGCAGCACAACAAACAAAATCAGGATGCCTGCACCAATTACTTTTCTATTATTGATTCGGGGGGAGGAATCAAACTGTAGCTCAAGATGTTTCTCATGCAACTGTTTAGTTTTCTTCTTTTATTAATTTATATTAAGGTTGCGGAACAATCGCGCTTTTATTGATCAATTTGACTGTTTCCTGTTTGCTGATCTTTGGTGTCTCTTCATGTCTGGTATCTTTTCCTTGAGCCTCTTTGTGTTTTCAAACATCTTCTATTGCTGCTTCTGTTTCCTCTTATCTGTCTCAGGCTGACTTTAACCCTGTCCTGCCCTATGGACTTGAAGAATTTCCCAATGGACATTCAAACCTGTACGATGCAGCTTGAGAGTTGTGAGTTTCTACTTCTTTCTCTTTATTATTCTTTTCTTTTTCCTCCCATCTTTCTGGGTTTTATATTTTAGACTTTACATTAAAAAATTACACCAGCACTGTTAAACCTGAGAGGTTTTTGTTTTTGTTTTTTGCCATTTAGTGTAAAATTAAAAGTAACTCACTATTAAAGCTTCATTGCCCAAACAGTGACTTTCAAGGCGTAATTTGAAAAACAGAAAACATTTTAAAGTTATTTTTTTCCTGCAGCAAAGCCACAAGTAAAAAGACATTAGTCTCCAGCAGCTTCAGAAGGAGACTAATGTTCGTGCTGTGGTCCCAGAATATGAGAAATGTCTTCATAATTTATAAAGAAATGAGGCACATTGTAGAAGTATGTTTAGAATAAATTGTAATCTTGTTCATCTAATCAAAAATATCTTGAAATAAATTTGGATGATCATCTTGAAGTTTCACTCTATAAACATTCATAAACAGCATGTTCACTTTCATTATCATGTAAAAACCAAAACCAGGCCGAAGAGCAAAGATGCAAATCAAACAAGCATGTTGTGTAAAATAAATAAATAAATAAAATAAAAATTAAAACAAGTCATTTTTTATGTTATAGCAAAAGTAACATCTGTGTGATGCATCTTCCAACTTCCACCAATAGACGGACCGTGAAATAATGAACTGAGGGAATTTCCACTCAGGCTGAGGAGCAAACCAATGAACATATTAACACGTGTGACGGTATTCAGCGCGGACGTTTTACAGTCTGTCGGCTCATAAAATCTATTTTACATCAATGTAATAGTTAGAATCTTTAGTGCAGCCTGGTACGCTTCAGCAGACATCTCTTCTGTGCAGTCTGCACACATGAAACAAGAACAATAKTCWGATTTTATCAGTCCTATTAATTTTAAAAATGGTTATATGTCTACTACCTTGCTGCCTTAAATATGTAAGCCTTTTTTTATCCAGAAATTAGTATGTTTTAAAGCTGTGTGAGTTTTCTTTAGACTAACTTTAGTCAAACATAATGAAGATTGGTTTTTTTTCCCTTGCATATTCAATGCTTTGCTAAAAAGCGCTGCTTTACTGTGACCTCGGTTCTGAGTAGAAAAAGGGAAGTTGCCTGTTGGAAATCGCTTTGTTTTTAAATCATAAAAAGTAATATTAAAGCTGCAAATTTAAACTGTTTTTAGTTTAAACAATATTTGGGTTTGAAAGCAACACAATGTCTGGAACACGGAGGCTACAAAAGCATGCACCTTTTCAATTAGAACTGAACTGAGAATTACTGTATAATCTCTCTTTTTAGTCCTTCCTCACTTTTTGGCAAAGATTGTATTTCCCTTTATGAAACCAATTTCCAGGATTTGAATAACACAACTTGGAATCACAGTTTATTTATTATGAGACCCACCACATTACCTTGAAGTTAAACAGAAGAAATTTTTTAAGCTTAGAAGAGAATGAAACAGGAACGAAACTTTTATCGTAATCATTTCAGGTTTCTCTCATAAATAAACTAGCTTAATATTTCTATGTCTGATTCTGTAAGAAACAAGTTAAATGAAAATGTTTTAAGAACAGACGTTTGTCCATATATCAGGATGTTTTCTTAGATTGGCATGAAAACAGTTCAACATTTAATAGCATTAAATATTTTTTTCTTGTAGTGTAAAGAACTGATCAGGTACACTTCTAGGTTCTTGAAAGGTGTGTGTGTGTTTTTGTTTGAGGAACTGTTTTACATTCTGCTGCCTTTAAGTTGAGAGGTAATCATTTCTGACTAAAGGCTCAGTGAGGACACTTGGCCTTGTGTTGACAAGTGCTAGTTTACCACCCAAGGGTGCGATCACCTTGTCTACAACCTAATGTTAGGAAGATGTTATAGGTCCTTCAGCTATAACACCATCTGTTCCACTAGAAAAAGGAAGAGGAGAAAATGGTGTAAAAAATGTATATCTTTGAGGTTTATTGAGCCATGGCCAATCTTTCTTTCTGAGCTTTCATGCCATGGACTATATACAGTATATACTGTGTATATATAT